TGGAGCCATATTTCTCTATTTAGGTAAATTCTGTTAGGCTGTAAGGAATTTTATGGTCAAGATGAGATATATATCTTCCTATTTCTACCTTAACTTAGTCGATAAGATACAAAAAAGCGAAAATATAGGACGCGCAAAATCGCGTAGCATACTTCGCGTGAAAATGGAACCGCATGACGCTAAGTTCTAATTACGTAATTGAAACCTTAGCGGGAGCAAAATGCTTAGCAACCGACCAATTTAATTAATATTCCGAAGTTTCGTTGCGAAATGTTGTAAAAAGCGGATAATATAGCCTTGCGACTCTCTCCTCCGCAGAGGCTTTAGTTTTCTTAGGATTTAATATTACGGTGAGATACATTTCACTACACTTTACATGGCGGATCTTGAAACACGAGCGTAGCCGCTGGGCGAATCAGTCATTTTGTCTTACAAACGGGAAATTGATAATCAGTTTGATCATCTGATTATCAATTTCCCATTTGTAATACCAAATGACTGAAAAACGGCAAACTTCGCAAGGCTATAGTATATTAACCGCATTTTACAACATTTCGCAACGAAACTTCGGAATATTACTAATTTTGTGATGCTCTTTCAAGCTATGATGAAATTTTTGTCCAGACTTGTCTAGATCAAAATTTTACTTAAAAGGGGAAAGGTCTATTAAAGTCTATAAAACAAGCGAATAATGGTTTCTTACGTAACTTATGTCTCAATCAATTCCATGGGTGCCCCCCCCCGGGCATTTGTCGGGCATTTTCAACTGTACTTGTTACCAGGGTCGGGCATTTGCTTTCTGCAGCTTAGCCCTGGGGTTGGGAATTTGCTCGAGGCTAAAAAGTCGAATAGTTGTCGCTTGTTTCGCCATTTATCCGTATTTTAGTATGCACGTTTACATGTGCGTACGTATTGCGAATATAATTAATCATGGCGGACATACACACTTTAATAGACTTTTTCTTGTCCATACTGTTGATACATTGACTTACTTCCGCAGTTTGATATTGTTATATCAAGTTTTGAGACTTTATAATTTTATAATCGAGAACATTTTGAAACGAAATGGCTACAGAATCGATTTTAAATACAGATATATTGATACGAGATAGAGCCTGCATTCGATTTTTTGTTTCCAAGGGTGGGGCATTTGCGTCAATTCAAGTCCCCAAGTGTGGGGATTTTGTTGCATTATTTGGACCCCCATCAGGTGGGGCATTTGCAACGTTTTTTCGCCCATGACAAATGCCCGACAAACGCCGGGGGGCGGGGGGCACCCATGGAACTGAATGAGACATTGCAGAAATCTATTAACGTTTCTAACACAGGTATATGATCGGACGTTCTAAATCCATACCTAAAACCAATTTGATTCTTATTCAAGATTTCATGTTCTTCCAAGAAAGTATTAAGACGATAATTAAGAATTGAGGTAAAAAAATTCCCTAAACAACTGCTGAATGTTGATACATATTCCCACATGGTTAAAAAGTTTAACAAATTAAGGAGCAATGTACTTCCAAAGCATTCTTAATAATTTCATTGCTTATTACGTCTCCAGCACTACCCTTTTTATTCTTAAGTTTCTTTGCTGATGCGCAAACTTCATGTACTGAAATCGGTGCTTGTAGGATGTTATCAGATTTAACTGCCCAAAGCCGATAATCCCTGACAAATTGAGTCTCGTTTCTAGAATTTTCGGCAGTTACTTTTTTCCCATCAGTACGTTTTTAAAATAATCGTGCCATACTAAAGGCGAAATTTCATCTTGTATATCATTGGAATTGTTTGATTTTATAGACTTTACCAATTTCCAAAACTCTTTTGGGTTATATTCTTCCATAGATTGGATGTATTTAACATTTCGTATTTAAAATTTCTTTTTAATCCTTTGGCGACTCGTTTGTATTCTTTCTAATTTGTACTGAAAAATTTATGTCGTAAAAAAATATTATCAGGGAATCTTGAATGACTTGAAAGCAAACTACCCAAGTTGCGTAGTTCATTTTTTAACAAGTGGCAACTCTTGTCAAACCATTTTTTCTTTTGCAATGCACTTCTTTGTTTCTTTTTAGAAAATCGTCTATTCTTAATTTATATGACCTTTCTCGAAACTTTAACAATAATATTTGTAAACTCATTCACCAATGAATTCACCTCCTGATGTTGTGGAAATTGAAGTATTCATTTCATTCAAAATGCAAGTATTATTAAGATTGATTTATATTATAAGTATTATTAAGAGTATTATTGTAGTAGTAATTTTATCAGGTGAAGAGCCATTGTATGGGAATACTTATAAGTAATAGCATGGCATTCAGGGCGATTAGTGATTAAATGTACCCGAAAGCCGAGACAGGTTTAGTACGCGCCTCAGGACTTTTACTAAACCTCTCGAGGCTTGAGGGACATTTCATCACTAATCGACCGTAATGCCATGCTATTACTTTGTGATATTATAGTTGCCGAGCGCATCGCGCGTGGTGTGTTGCCTGTTTTGAATGCTGTTTGATTGTCTTATGATTGTGATACGAACACTTTTCATATATACGCACGCGCAGAAACACATCTCCGTGTTCATTCGCCTTTTAGGCATGCGCATAAACAGAATTTTCTCCCACAATTGTAATGTTCAAGATTAGGGAATAAAAGCTGGCAAAGTGATTGTTCGAATGTGTACGGGACAACACCGCGGAAAAACGTCTGCGCATGCACCAAATTATGAAAATATGGCGGGGAATTTGAATATCAATTTCTAAACCAAAAACATGCTTATTAATTGGTCAAAAATTAGTAAAACAAACAAGAAAATATAGCAAATGGGTAGACTAGACATTAATTGAAAGCGTCCTGGCATTTAAAATATGGAATGAAATAGAATTCATGTAAAAAAATTGTTGATTTTAACGGACACGACTTCGAAAATTTTTGCTAAATTATTCAAAACAAAAATTCAAACTCAAAAGTTAAGAAAACTCTCGAAAAGTTAAGCTTCTTAACCCACTCAAATTGTAGAATAAATCCTAAAGTTTAATTATTGTGAACACGAAAATTTTTTATATTTGGCGACACAGTTTTTTTAAAGAAATGTATCTCAAACGAAAATTCGGAAATTGTCGTTGCTTAGTTGATAAACAAAATGTTTCAGACGATAAATTTGTCAACAATCACCTTAGTTCATGTTCTTGTACAATACAACTTCTTGAACCTTCTGGCTGTATTTATTCCTAGTTTTTAGAATGACATGTTTATTTTTGCGCTCGAAATCTGGCTGTAAAGACGCACAATGAAGTCACTCCTTTTACCGCCATTTTGAGCCTTCGGAAACGTTCGGAACAGCTTCTCATCAAGTTCGCAATACTATTACAGGTAAGGTTGACGCATGCGCAGACGTTTTTCCGCGGTGTTGTACGGGACGCTGTCGTCAGATACTGCCCATAGTTGTGCCGATGATTTTCGATGAGGTACAGCTTTTGTCCTTTTGTTCTAATTTTGCCCGTGGTAAAATTAGTGCCCGGCACTGGTGCCCAAGTGTTCAAAATGGTTCACAAAACATGTTGAGCACAGTGCCGTTGTTGAGTACTACCTCTAGAGGTAGTGCCCGTTCTTGGGCACTGTGCCCAATTTCATTTGAAATCGTCGTGTTCAAACTGGGAGCCAAAACAAGTGCCGGGCACCAGTGCCGGGCACCCAGTCTGGACGCAGCCTTAGTGATCGTACCTCGCGAGACAAAGGATTTCGAGGCAACTATGGTATTATGATAATAAACCATTATTATTATTATTAATATGGTCCCTAAGAGTAGTTTTTAAAGCATCATTCCACATAAAAGGCATGAGAAGTGGTGACAATTATAAAGTTTTCTCTGTCCCTAGCGGTAAGTAAGACTCGGTTTCTAAACCAAAGGAAAGAAACAATGATGCGAAAATTGTGTGATTTCAGATACAGTAAAATATTTCATTTCCGTCATGACCTCTGAAGAAACAATAGTAGCCTATAATCAACCACACTAGCCCCATTATATGTTTGACAGGTAAAATGACCAATATCTGACAGTAGTCACACTTCGTTCTGCCATTTAAAAGAATTAATTTGTGTGATCAGTAAGTTCAAATATTTCAAACCAGAAAAGCGTGAATCGCAACAAACAGGCTATGCATCATAAAGTACGTATTCCTAAATCATTTCCAGAACGCAGAGTTATGCTCCGTACAATCGCCTGGTTGGATTTTTATTTTATTACTTTTCAATTATTTACTTATAATTCTCCTTTTGGAACCAACTTTGTTGGTTGTACAAGATTCTACTTGTACTTGTTCTAGAAGTACTATTCCACATTCTCAATGCATATTTGCATGTTCTAAACGCAACGGCGTGATGGAGGTACAATCTGTGCTGTAGGATTGCGACACATTTCACAATTAAAGGCCCTCACAAACGAATTCCCGAAAAAGGGCCCTGAGGAAAGATGACCAAGATTTTGAAACTGATGAATTACAATCGAAGTAAGGTTTCGTTAATGCGATAAAAGCAAAGAAAATGGAAGCATTGGAAAAACTCACACCTTGTTTCTTTATGCATGTGTGTTACCCAAAGAAGGAGGGACTCCCAAAGGTTTTGAGCGAACAAGGGAACAAGGCTAGGAAAGCCGAAAAAGTCAGGGGAACAAGGAAACATGTAGGCTCAGGAAACAAGGGAACATATATGGTGAAATACGTTTTGGGAACAAAATAACAAAAGGAAACGTTTGAAGTGAACACGGGAACAAAGACCCCCTGAGAGACCCACAAGGAGGATATCAGGAGAGCATAGATGTTTTTGTAATTTTATGTTTTATATATAATTTAACTAACCTTTTGTCAACTTCACGATGTAGTCAGCTTGGGCCAAATATCGAGGATTGAGTGTAATGGCAAAAACAATCCGTTCTGATAACAATCCTTTGAAAACATTGTTGAAAACATTTTCTGCCACCTTGGCATCTAAAGAACTTGAAAGGATCATCCAGTAGATATATCAGCGCGTGAGTACACAGCCCGTGCTAATGCGATACGTGTCCGCTGTCCACCACTCAATGTTGCACCGTGTTCTCCAATATGTGATAAATCCTGATCTGGGAATCTTTTGAAATCTCTCTCCAACTGACAAGCTTTGATGGTGTTCGAATACCATTCTTCATCATACGCTAAGCCGAATAATATATTTTCTCGAATGGTACCGGGAAATACCCAAGGCGTATCCGGAACATACGCAATGTTTCCAAACTGTTTTACAGATCCCTTAGCTAAATGAAGTTCTCCATGAAGAATACTTAAGAGCAGTGACGACTTTCCACTGCCAACTGAGCCAGTTATTATAACTAACTGCTTGGATGATATTGTGATAGAAATGTCAGTTAAAAGTATAACATCTTCCGTTTGTGCATATGAAGCATTGGATGTGAGTAGTTTACAAAATACGTTATCCAGGCAAACATAAGGGGTTTCACGAACTACCTCCGAAGATTTTTCATCATCTCTTGACTTCTCATCTATCTCTGATACCTTTCCTTTGGTAGGCGGAAATTCATTAATGGTATCATGTGTAGCATCGCAGCTTTCCAAGAATTGCTGTATCCGGGTAAGGCCGGTGATTATACCCGTACTGAAATGAATAGAAATTGGTAATTTCAGGCAAATAATCTCACCAATGCCGACAGACATCACCATTATCTTGAATAAATTATCAAAAGTCAGCATAGAGCGATCAGTGTAGATAAGAACCAGCACAATGACAAAGGTTGATAGATGTTGTCCACATGTAGTAAACGAAAAGCTCGCAGAAAGAATAATCCACCTTTTTGCTTTATATTTTATTTCTTGCCTAGAAAGGAAAAGGTGCTTCAGACAATTTATATAAAAAAATAGAATTTGTATGACTCCGTCAAGTTAATATAGTTATAGCAAGGGCTCGACATTCAATGTTGGCGGAATGCTATAGATTTTTAGCAGAATGACATGACATAGGAATAGGTATACGTGTAATATGAATTTAATCATTCGTTCTCTCTCTCTACTCTGTTAAAACTTACCATCTTGTTCTTCGAATCTTTTTCTCGTAGACATGCTCCAAGCAATTCAGTTTGACGGAATGAATGATCGTCAGAACTTCTCGAAGGTAACCAAGGCGTTTCTCTGCAAATTGTGAGGCTTTCTTACGATAGTTTATGTCTATTTTTGTCATGCATAGGCGAAATAATGCGAGAATCGTAAATACTCCTAGACCTGGCAAGAACTTCCAGCCGACAAAATATAATAGCTAAATAATGTAAACGACGAGTTTAGCTGTTTGTCGAATTAAGTTGGGAAAAAATTGATCTCCCATTGTGACTAAACGATGAGTGTCGTCGCATACCAACTCCATCACCTCACCAGCGTTCATGGACATTTTACTACATCTTAACACCTTAATTAAAGAAAAAAGTAAAAGTAGATTTCTTTTTATATATATTTGTCGATAATGGATACAACTCCTCCGTGTGTCTCCACCGCAAAGCTTGCACAACGTAATTCACATTCGGGTCTTTTTCTGCAGATGTATCTTGAATACAAACTAAATATTCTAAAAACCGGTCATGAAGCATTCTCGTATTCTGGAATCGACCTTAAATCGACTGGGAAATACGCCACCTAGATCACGGGAATCCTATACTAAAATAAGTAAGTTTAAGATTTCATTTTGCACCGAAACAAAAAAATTCCAAGGGTGGAAAAAAATTGAGAAAATATTTTACTTGGGTTAGCTGGCCTTACCTATATCCAAATCCTTATTGCTTCTTGCAGGTAAATGTTAAGTTATTACTATGCCGATTAAAAGATTCTAAAGATTGATTAATGTACTGTTTAATATACGAGCAGGAGTGTTTTATTAGGTGTTTTATTAGGTGCGCGCAGCGCGAGTGGCTTTAGACTCCTAATAAAACACGACCCGCGAGTTTATTAAACGCGGCTTCAAACACGACTACAAATTCAATAGATATACTGCCTTGTTAGTATTCTTTATATAAAGAATACTAATGAGGACACGGCTACAAATTAGATACTGCCTTATTAGTATTCTTTATATAAAGAATACTAATTAGGAGTATTTTATCAGGTAGATAGATGTTTTATCAGGTAGACGTGACATATTATGGTTGACATGATTTGCCAATAAGCTTATGAATTATTAATGAGTGTTTGAATCTTATTTTAATTCTGAAAAAAATATTTTCACCTTTTCAACATTCAGATAAGTAACGTTGATTAATTTTGGTCTAAATCTGTAGATGGTTTTGAAAGTTATTGTTCTTCATAATAATATAATCAACTAATCATGTCAGTTTCCTCTTTGTATGGCAGCTATAGCTTGCAGACGCTTCTGTGACAAAATTATCACCTAAGATCAGTTTTTAATCAGCATTCAGCATGTAGAAAACAATTATTCGCAGAAGTGTAGGTAAATAGTGCAAGGATTATAGTTTGTAGCTTTATTTGTGTTTAGCGGAGCCGCAGATTCGTTTCATGAATAAAATCGCGGTCTGTATAACCGGAACGAAACGGGAAGCCATTTTGTTTTTGTCCGCAGTGGGCCTTCGGTAGTTTCACCTCTGAGGTAGTTTCGCCTTTCACCTCTGAGATCATGGGTTCGATTCTCGCTACGGACTCGTGTGAAAATAAAGAGTCTGTCAACGCTCTGCCTAAAGTCGTGGGTTTTCTCCGGACGCTCCGGTTTCCTCCCACGGGGAGAGTTGACAACGTATAAGTATAAGTATAAGCGTAATACTTAATGTAATCGGTCATTGAAAAGCCCCAATGGAAGTGTGCTGAATACTAGTGTAATGTATGTTATAGTGCAAGGATATCCGTTGCTGAGTGGGCAATTGCCATTCAAAAAGCACCATCCAGCTCCCGATTATTACATAACATCATCCATTTTCCCTGGGCTCTCCGGTTTTCTCTCTCGGAGAAAGTACAACGCGCAAGTGGAAATTCGTAGAAGTAGATTCACTTATGCATGCCTTACCTTTTTATAAATCAAACCGACAAGTGCAGCTCTAGCTTTTATTCCCAACATAGGTAGAAGCAAACAGGAATGCTGAGAACCAAGAACTTCACAAGAAGATCCTATCATCATAAACCCAATAAAGATAAGATACTCGTTCGGAGAATGGGTACCTTGCTCTAAATTACTGCCGATTGCTTTTATCAAGTTCGTAACAGAATAAAAATAAATCCCAGTCCCAAAGACATTCAAAAGCATTAAACAATTAACAAGCGCATGTTCTTGCCACGTGAAATATTTTATCATTGCTTTCCAAAGTTTTGGCTTTTTATTCTGTTGCCTTGCTGAGATTTTTTCATTATTCCAAATTCCCTCCAAACGTTTTGTCTGATGAGCAGCACTGGCGCCTTCTCTGACTGGATCGAGATATTCTTGATTTAGTGGATTTTTGTATCCCCTCCACAATAGATCAACAATCCACCAAAGTAGGACTCTAGATATAATGTTAGCTCTGTCTTTTCGATGAACGTTTTCGTGATGCATTTTTGGCTGACGACAAATGGCAGATTTAATAGGCGTTTATGTTGTTTTCATTCAATCCAAAATATTTCCACGTTTTCTTATGTTCCTTTACTGCATGAAACATAAACACAAAAATGCTGTCTTACAATTAACATCATTATATAGGGTGTCTATTATGGGGGGTTGGTCCCTCCGCAAACCGTCCTATTTTTGTCTCCTTCACCGTTAATCGCCTGTATTTTCTTCGTGAAACCCGCAACCATCATTTTACTTATACAGTAAAAGTTTATCGGCCAGGGACTTCGCAGCGATGGACGAGAGGACAAAGATGGCAGATTTTCGTTGAGAAACATTTAATTAACTGCATGATATATATTCAGGAATGTTGCCAACGGTAGCTGTAGTTGAGGTGTGAGATGTGAAAGAATTCAGTTAACTGAACAGGACCTTAAATTTTTGGTGTGTTTTTGGTGTTATGTACTCAGGTGAATATAATGTTTTTGATGGATAGGATAGGATAGGATAAAACTTTATTTGACTACGCTGGCCACTTCAACCGGAGCTGCTTTCCCAATGGGGCGTAGATAAATTATATTGCAAAAATATATAAAATACAAAATCACTAATAATATTAAGAACTACGAATACAAAATACATATACAAACAAATGATACAGTAGTCAAATAGCTAATTCGTCAGACTAACAGAGGAAATATTTCTATTGCCGGAAAGAATTTAAAGATTCGCTGTTTCTTACTTGTTCAGGAATGCTATTCCAGATTTTAACCCCACTATATCGAAAACATTTTCTGCCATACTCGGTATTTGGTCGTGGCAGAAAGAGAGACGAATTTGAACCTCGTAAATTATAACTGTGGATATGGTTAGAATTCTTGAACATTGATGAAAACCTCGATGGTGCCAAATTATTGACAACCTTAAACATGAGCCGGGCCATAATATGTTTTCGCCTTTCTTCCAAGCTAATCCACCCTAATTGATCAAGGGCCAGTTGAGATTGCCCAGGCTCATATTTAAAGTTCATTAAAATTCTAGCACATCTGTTGTGAAGTTTGTCTATCGTTCAGACTGGCCTCTATTAATTTAATGGAATTCCAAACTTCACAACAGTAGTCGAAATGGGGTTGGACAAGACCTAACCTGAAGTTCAGGCCCTATCACAGAATAGGGCCTGACACAAAACCTATCTAAAGTGTGGGATTCCCGTCCACCTGGTGGACGGGAAATCTGATTGGTTGATCAGCATCATGAAGGATTTTGATTGGTTGCAAGTTCACGTAAACAACAGTTTTAAAAATAGCTCGGTCAAGGCGAGAATTAATATAAAGGTCAAACGCACGTAACAAATTCCATTATCGATTTCTTCGAATTTCTTTTCTTTTATGCTTTATGGCAGAAAATAAATCAAACAAACAGTATTTTGAAAGGGCTTAATCAAAATCTTTGACGAATTTGGACACACACGACGCTGAAAGAACAGCCAAACTAGTCATGTATTCGAAAGCTTGTTGTTGACAGCCAAGATGTTCTGCCAACTTGCTTCGCCGGCAAAAGTCTTATTTTTAATATCAGGTCCTACCGGCGTAATTGTTTCTGAGCTACATCGCCTTCTTCGTGGTATGATTGAGAATTTAATTGTTGCTGTTATTAGCCCGTTAGTCGTTAGAGTATATCCGCGTCCAGCAAGTTGAGACCTTGAGAAAGCTTGGCAGTCAAGCCGTGCACAGAACTGACTAATTAAATCTTTGTTTGCTGTTCGCCTGTTCGGTTAAATAGAGAAACTGACTCTTAATTATATAAAAGTACCTTGAATTTTTAAGTTTAATTAAAAAGCAAAATGCTCTGCGGACATGTTCATGAGAATATAAATTTTTTGTGTAACGAAATCTACAACACTTGTCAATCATATTGCATGTGTGTCTAAAAATAACATGTGGGCGTCCCACGGTCTAGACAGGTTTTGTGTCAGGCCCTATTTCAAATTAGGGCCTGAACTTCAGGTTAGACAAGACCATAATAGACTGACTTCAAAGTATCAGAATTAGTGAAATCCTTTATCTTTTTCATGGCACTTATTCCAGAAGATATTTTTTTCGAAATTTGTTCAATATGACTGTCCCAAGTTAAAAATTGATCAATTTTGACTCCAAGAGCTCCTGTAACTTGAACCCTTTTAATTCGTTTATCCCCAATAAAAACACGCGGTTGTTAAGTTCTTCCAACGTGTCATCCTCGTTCCCAGGGCTTCTCGGCTGTCTGCGTTGCCGTAAGCCCTGGGACAAGCCAAACCGGAACACCACAAATTCTGGTGTTTTCCGGAAGTAAACGCGTTCTGCTGCAAGTTAAAAATGCTGACTATGCACTAATTTTTACTGAGGAGTGGAGACGTGTTGATGAGCAGAAAATATTGGATTTTTCTTTTGTTTCGATGGATTTTCCACCATCAAGGGAATATGTGCAGACCACCTAATGGAATTATACATATTGGGGTTTTATATTTCGTTATATCGTTAATATTCGTCAAAATACAACCATATTTCGGTTTCGTATTACATGTATCAATTTTCATGTATGATGTAAACATGATCGAGTCGAAATGTGCTCGAAGTGGCCGCTGTGATTCGAAACATCATGGGTTCTTGTACAGATGACCTGTTTCAACACGAGCTTGTAAAGTCACTTCAAAGACTGGACAAAGCCGGACTGGAAATTAAAGAGAAGTAATTCGAAGCTTTATCGTCCATCGTATGTTACGTTGTATATTTATAAAAGGAACAAGAACGACATGTGACATGTCTAAACGGCGGTGTGTGTCTGTTTACTGGGTTACAACAACGGCAATAACAATGAATCACCTAACATTTCAAGAAAATATAAATTATAGATAGATGTCATGTACGACTCCATCAGTTTTGGATTTGAATTGCTAGATTTAAAGCTATATTATGTATACAAAATCGTGTGCGTAAATTTGAGCAAAAAAGCACAAGGTGTTTGTTTGGCCATATGCCCATCATGTAGTATGAATATTGAACACCGTTTTACTGTATATAGCACGTTTAAAACGTTATTTCCATGCAGGATAATCCTGAATCCTTCACCGATTACATGCCGTGGCAAATGAAGAAAAACAATTATGTAAAATAATTAACCTAAAATGTCTTTGGCCATGAATGCAACTCACTATGCTGCTTGATACATCTGACAGTCAAAACTATGTGCATGACTGTATGGCTCAATGTATGTTAACTGTTTCAGGGAAATTTTTGTTTTTAGATTAAAGTATAACAATATTTTCTGCATTCCAATATATTTTAATCTACATGCAAGTGCGCCTTCTGTTTCAGATAGGGGCCAAATCATTTGAGGCCGAATGGGATAGTCAATGATTGGAGGGTAATGTTAGCAAATTTGACTCCCATACATAATGTCAAGTTATCACTGGTCAATTTTTAAATTTCTTACAATTTCACATCAGGGAGTTCATTGCCCCCCCCCCCCCATTATTCAGAAGTGTGACTAAGTGTTTTCTAGTATCTATCCAGGTGTCCAATCTAAATCTCCACCACAACAGGATGTATACCTGAGTGATGGTAAGGGAGGTGGGGTTAACATTCTGATTTATCAATAGATTACTACACATTTCCACATTAAAAATATGAAAAGTTTTCCAGTTCAATATACTGTATCTATAGCAGGAGGCTTAAACCAGAATTTCAGAATACAAAGCAACTTTTATGTCATTTTTGTAATGGTTTAAAATCAATTTTTATACAGACAAGGTAGGGTGTCTCCTGGCTAGAAGCCTGCATATACATATACAAATTTTCAGTTTTATCAATAATAATAGTTTATTTTATAATTTCAATTCTTACAAGATTTGCAATAAGTCAACAGAATAAGTATTGTATTCTGAACTGTTGACAGGAAACAGTGTAAATACATGATCTCATCCGATGACACAAGAATTCGAGACCCCCACCTCGAGCATACCAGGGGCATTCACTTAATTTGGTGTGTAAATTCAGTGAAGGTATTCAATTGGAAATTTTACATGAAATTTCCCAAACCATTCCTTTACTGTTCTGTAAAAGCCTTTCCTGGCCAAATGCTTTATTTCAGCATTTATATAGCCGACTGCTTTATTTCAACATTTATATAAAAGACTAAGTGACCCCCTCCCCCCCCCCCATGACCTCATTCATTCCCGACTTGGACACTGAAAGTAAGTGTCTTCCCTGTTTGCCAAGAAATGATAAACCAGTGAATAAGAGGCGATTGTCCTTGCATTCCCCTCTGGTATGCCAAAGGTGCAAGGATTCAAATGACTGGTGAAATTGAATATGCTTATAAGCTTATTCACTGTATTTAATTAAAAGCTATTAAAATTACTCACTAATACTACAACTGAGGAAAATTCAGAAATAGTAAAATACATCCATAATATTCCATATGCTATATTTATAAATTCCAATTGGCCATTTTAACATTGGGCCATTTTAATATAGGCGGGTATTAAATAGGCCAAGTGACCAATACCAAAAGCATAATAATTAATAAAACACAATACATTACACCATTAAAACTTTACTATCGTAACTATATATTTTTAAACATTTTATATTTACAGTGTGCTTAAAATTTTACAATTATACTTGAGCACAATGTTTTAATAATAGACAACTTTATAACAAGAAAATGTTAAAATGAAGAAACTTTTTAATGGCTTCATAATTGACGTTTCTTCGATATTGTTGCTTACTTCTACTTTATAATTGTCCATTCTGTTATTTTTTTTCTTTCTGTTTGCAAATTATCTCCATTAATCCATAGAAAACAAGCAGTTTACGTTTGTATTTCTTCGTATTTCGAACGCGCACTCCTTGAAGGCAGCCATATTGCAAATTGCAAATATAAACATCCACTTGACGAATAAACTTTTCATATTTCACTCTATTTCCAACGACCAATCAAATCACATCTGCTTCGGCTTGTCCCAG